TAAGCTTGTTAAATCATTTCATAACACGATCGACAGCTCGAATGTAAATTATATCGTCTAAGAAAACAAATAAACATTTTCATTTTCTCAAATTCTCTCTTCCCATTTTGAAATTGAAAATAAGATACTAAAATTGGGCCAAACATAGCCATAATGTTTTAGTAATCATGAGAAATTGACTGATTTGTATGGTTGAGATTTTATATATATAATATATATATATATATATATATATATTTGTTTTTTTTGTCGTTTGAATTTGCATACAAGATTTTGGGGTGATTACTTCCGCCAAGACAATCATTACTACTCGCATGCTGACGCGACACTCCAGCGTGAAATCCTAGACCAAACCGAATCTATTACAATAATGCCTAGATATGATCTAGGGCCGAGTTGACTCAACGGTTCAATTATTTTAATTCATAAAATCGTTGATTAATTGTCTCCCTATATCGTGCTAGTTAATCTTAAGCTTGTAACCGTTATTGAATTCAACCTTTCATTAGACTATTACACCAATAAATTGGTGACTTAAGAATGAGTTAATCATAACCGCAAACCCTAGTCCCCTTAAATTGGTCTCAATTCGACATTAATTCAGTACATCCACAAGTCGGTTAAGAGTCGGATTTCTCGACCACCCAATCGACACTGTCAAACCAGCAATTAATTAAACCGATGATTCATTGATGACAAATGAGTTAAAATTGATCCGGATTCAATGGCGGCCCCTATTCTTGTGTACGTGTGCAACTGCACACCCTTGACTTCAAAAAACATCTCTAAATATTTTTTTATTAAAAAATATCTACATATTTTCTTTTCTTTTTTCCTAAATAAGATCTCTTCTGATCCTCATAATTATTGTATCGAATATGCTAAGAATCTAAGATGTAATAATAAAAATATTTCACTCTAGCATGCATCTAGCTTCTAGACTATAGGTTTACTTCACCCTCCAATTTTCTCATCTTAATATTATATTAAAATAGATTATTAAAGAATCACACTAACTCATTAATATATGGTAATGTCTCGTTTGCTTACCTATATCAGATTAACCGCGATTATATTAGATTGGATTAATTCCCTACTAGTTAACTAATTAATTATTTAATAACATGTTTGGTTCTTTAGGTTACATATTGTATTAAATTTGTTATATTCTGTTATTATATGTGAATTGCCTATAAAGTCTTTATTTAACTGAAGTAAGTTATTGTGTTAAGGATAAAATTGTAATTTTCTCTTTTAGTCACCCATACAAATTTAATCGTACGGGGAGGGATGTTACTAATTTCCCTGATGTAGTAACACTTAATTACAGACTTTAACTTTAATAGCGGACTTGAGTAATGTTGAATCCTACCAACTAAGCATCTTATCGATTCATATTATTTAGTCAATCTAACATACTAGTGACAAGAAATTTAATTAATAGTAAAAGATTATGAATGAATTAGCTTTGACAACTCTTCTAGATACAATTCCCTAGCTAATAATACACACACAAATATAGAGGATAATATCCAATCTTCAATCCCAATGAAGATGCAGATTTGGTTTTTGGATATTGAATCAATCTTGATAATTTCAAAGGTTTCCAGATTTGGAATTATTATATGTATTAATATTATATTCAAAGTTGTTCATAATTCATTAGTTTTTTTTATATGTGTGTCCAAATCTTAGAAACTTAATTTAAAAGCCATGGAGTAATAACACCTTTTATATATATATATATATATATATATATATATATATGACTAAATTGCCCTTCAATTTCCACACAAACTACAAGATGGGGAAACTAGTAATTAGTTCATCATCGGAATTCTAAAGTTGACGAATAACCTGATAACAGTTAATTTAAAACAGAAGGAGTATTATTTTACGTACCAATTATTCATCAAAATTACGTCAATTTTCAAAATATTATTTCAATTTTTCAAACAAATTTGGGATTATTATGAAATGGTAGTCTCTAGCTCTATTAGAATTCTCCGAGTTGGGCTATTTATATCACATATTCACTACTATTTGTAATCATCTTATTTTTATATCATACGTTCCATAGAAAATTTTGTTTTTCTTTCGATTTTTTGAGACTCGATTTATAAATGGCAACAAACGACGAAAGTCGAACCACATGTTATTACCAATTCAATGGTTGAGGTGAATGCACGCATCTCATATTGAGTAAATAACAAAATTGCACCTCAATAATTTCTACTTTATCCTCTTATCAATTGTTATCTTTGCAAAAAAAAAAAAAAAAAAAAAATTTGATGGGAAAGATGCTTTAATGTGAAAATTATTACATTGATTTTGATTGCAATATTTATTTGTGAAAAAATATGAAAAGTATCAAAATAAAATATTTTTGTGGCAGATGGAATTTTTATGATTCAAGGATCAATTCATAAAATAAAATAAAAATTATACTAACCAATGAAAATGTAGATTTAGATTTTAATGGTTACCCCCACACACTTTAAAAAATATGGTCAATAATTTTTTCCAGCTGGAGGGATCTTCTAAAGTGAATGAATTATTGGATAAAGTTTTGAGAGAAAATCTAAAGTTTGAATGCGATTTGGGCTGCAAAGGGTGACACACTATAATTTTGAATAAATGGATCACTTACATTAATTATCTTCCTACCCATTTTTGTGGATTCTATTTAGTTTATTTTTCTTACTGAATAAATGTTTATACTATGCTGCACTGGATAAAATACATTGGATATATATTTATCATTCATAAACACACAAACATATATAGATCTAGATTGATGTGTGTAGATCAACAGTACAAATATATTCGGTGTAACCTTCAACATATATAGCATAGAACAAAGCTGAAAATCACGATAAAAGTTGTATTTTTTTTTTATTTAATGAAAATTAGATGTTGCTCGTGTGAGAAAATATGCATCATTGCGGACCCTATCCTACTATTTTTTTTTTGAAACAAAAATATAAATCCGATGTCACATTTAAGACTAGGAATAAGTTGGTTTCATCGGCCGTCGATTCATTATCAGTGTGCATATCATTATCAGTGTGCATACACTTGACAAAACGTGTTCTTTTTTGAATAATAAAGACGGAAAGAAGAAAAAAAAATGTCCAGTCTTGCTCAAAATATATAAAGTAAAGATAGTAACAACCCATTCCCCTTAATTGAATCAAAAAATTCGGAAGAAATTTAGGTTGGAATAATCTAAATCCCTTTCTTTTCTAAATACGAAAACGGGAATCGTTGAAAGACACGATATCATAGACTACATTATATTACTCCATAGGACTCCAATGGGATTCGAAATCGGTAGATTTTTATTCGAAGCAGATTTTGATTTGAAATAGTTCAAAATGCGCTGCAGAAACTACCTATAAAACAATTGATATGGTTTGCTTCTTGAACTCAATTAGTCGTACTTTTAGATCCCGCTTCCCAACACTACGAGTGAAACGGAAAATGTAAAGACTACCAATAAAGTAGCTCAAGCGAGAAGAACTCAGCTTATTTAATTTTGGATTACCGTCCTCGCGTATGTATAAGACCGAATCCGTTCTCGATTTCTAAAAATACAATTACTAATCCTTCTTTTCGAGGAATCACTAGTGGTTGTGAATGACTTATTTTTTCAATCTTTTCGACGTTGGTTCCGTAGGAGCAAGTTGAGAAATATGACCATATGATTTAATTCATTCTCAGTAGCCAAGGGTGATCCTCTGTCTGCTCTTATTACACATGTAGACTCTGAAGGATGAGAACCAACTATGTAGCATCTACATCGAGAATTCAAGTATCGCATACGTCATTAGTCCGATCTTTTGTAGTAGGAACTACCCGTAATAGCAAACTTGCAAAATTGATTTGTTTATCATAAAGAGATTAGCCGTTCCCAACCCTGCTTGACCTTAATTGTTATTTGACAAGTAAAATTTGTCTCGAGTAGGGATAGCGTTTTTCTTTTGCATGTAGTTAGGAAAAATCCAAACATCTTAGAGATAGATAGAGACAGAGAAATTTCTCCAACATACTTTTTTAAAAATATATTTATTTTAAATTACAATTAACGCAATTAGTCAATAAAATTCAAAAAATTATGTCTTTTGGGCAACGTAGTATTTTGTTGTAAGGTTAAAATTAACGATTTTCTTTTTGTAAATAATACATAATATTTTGATTATCTTATTAATCAATTAGGATTTCTTTTTGTAAATAATTCGAACGAAAATAATAATTGGTCCATAATCAACCGATCCAGCAACAAGTCTCACATCGATGACAATAACTAAATAAATAAATAAAAAGAACCAGAAAAAAACACCAAATCTCATATTTAAATTGGCAATTCTAGTTCACTTTTTGTGCTCCAAGTTATATGGTAGAAATTTCACATAGTTGCGTGTGGTACATAATTCAAAGTCTTAATCTTACCACATATGTATTATCATATACCCACCCCAATAATTAAGTTATTATTTTTTCATCATACAAAAAATAAAAATGGCTTTAGTAGGCCTAGGCTTTTCGACATTACACGACGGCCCAACCGATAAATAGAGGTTAATATAAGAACACATCAACTACGAAGGCCCAACCAATATAAGCCCATGATATAAATATAATAGAGAGTAGAGACACAATTTTTTATTTTTTCTTGAGTAAATTGCGGCCACCCCCAAGGTAAGGTCAAATTACAAAAAAACTTCTTAGGTAATTACAACCACCCACATCTGTGTATTGTCTTACAAAAAAACCTTTCTTTCAGTAGGTAAATTTGACATCGTAAGAAAATTGGACACCGTAAGAGTAGACATGTAAGACAATACATGGTCCAGGAGGATAGTTGTAATTACCCAAAAAGGAGGGGGGGTTTCGTAATTTAACGTTACCTCAGGGGCAACGGGGTTGCCGTAATTTACCCTTTTTTTTAAGGGAATAGAGACACAATCTATCATAGGCAGCAAATAACCAGGTGCAAGTGAATAATATAACCCAGAAAAAACAGGTATTTAAATAGTATCTGGTATTTCGTCAAAAATTCAGAGTTTTGAACGACAACGTTTATGGCGACCAAAGACAAATGCATATGTTGTATGCATTTATGTTCTCTGATCATAAGTATTTTCAAGAACTGGCACACCTGGCCCATATATCAGCCGACATCTGTCATTGAACGAACCCACAAGCCGAGAAACCACCTCCTTGAAGAACATATTCGCAATCTGCAATCCAAAATTATTTAACCAATTGATTTTATTCCGACACTTCATAGTATGTGAACATACATACATACAACAAATGGGGCTTAGAAGCCAACCCCAGAGAGTCGATTCACATGCATGAATATCAGAGTATATATCCACTTTTTTGCCAGGTTTTCACACATGCCATTGATTGTCAATACGAAGGATTAAATTTAAAATCAAGTGAAGAAACTTACCTGTCGATAAAATTGTGATTGGAATTTGAAGTCCACCAAGAAATATAGGCTGCAGGTTCCTGGAACAGGTCCAGGGCTAAATTCCCAGACATTGATCAAATGATCGAAAAGGCTACTCTGTGTTGAAGTTGTCTGCAATAAAAACATAATAAACGATATGATAAATGTTACCACGGCTAAATAATCCTACAATCAACTAAGGCCTCGTTTGGTTGCCAAGATAAGATTAAATAATCTAATGAAACTCAATTGTATTATTGGACCTTGGAAGGTCCAATAAAAAACATGCCTAGAAGGAAAGATAAGCCATGATAACATAATATTTGCGGGTCGACCCGGCAAGTTATTGGGGATACCAAACATCAAACAAAAATTATTTTAGTTAATAATGTCTAATCTTGCCAACCAAACGAGGCCTAAGTGTTTGTGTGCAGTAGGCCTAAGTGTTTGTGTGCAGTATAATATGCAGAATTGCAAATTTGCAATTCCTTCGTGAAATAGTAACGAATTAATTAAACCTATTGAGGCTTCCATCATACTTACCAGACCTTTAGACAGTTACTACCTCTTAACATTATCAAAAAATTTGTTTTCTTTCTATCGATAAAAAATATCAGATACAAATGCCCGAACGCTATAACATAATCACTTTTCGGACTGCTGACATGACCTAAAGGAGAAATTCAAAATTAACCGTATATTCAGACAATAACCAAAAGAAATTTCATCAACAATTAATTATCTGAAGTCAAGAATCCATATTGCTATACATTAGATCTACCCCGAAAAAAAAACACAGTTCTATCAGTAACAAATCAAAGTCGCCTATCCAGTATAAACTCCCAATACAAATATTACAGATTTACAAACAAAGATTCTTCTTCCATCTCCCTTATGTTTTACATTAACTATGGAGCTGAAACTACAGGTACGTACATTAGAGTACAGACGCAGTGAAAAGATTTCTTCAAGTTCATGCCAAAATACATATTTCACATTCCTATGCTAACGACTACACATATCCAACAAGATCGATCTGCAACACCCCCATTTTGAAATATGATATATATATATATATATATAGTATACGATTCCTCCCTAATCTTCTATAAAAAATATAAGCACAATATATTAGCCACAAGTGCATTACTTTATAAATATTGATAATAGTAACTATAATTATCAGCTGTTTCTCACAATCTTTAAAAATCTACACATTAAGACAATAAAACACCGATACATTTATAGCTAAATTCATCATTGACCAGATAATTAAATTTCTCCCAGATTATATCCTGCTAATTTCCAGCCCTATCTTTTTACATCCTTCAATTTAACCAAGTGTTGTGTGATCAAACAGTTCCACATTAGAGATATAACTTTCGGTTTGCTTAGCTCACTCAATGAAAAATGAAAGGAAGGTCACTTAATATTCAGTGAACAGAGCAAGTCTCGGAAGAAAGAGCTAGCGAATAAAACTCAAATATTTTACCTTAACAAATTTCGGTTTGCTTAGCTCCACATTAGAGATATAACTTTCAACCAAAAATTTAAAGCCGATTTCTAGCTCGGCGTCAAAAGTTCCATCGGGATTGCGGCGAAGTATTTCGGATCGTTGACACCATGGAAGAAAATCCTGATACATGTCAACAGCAGCAACGACATCGAACAATTGTTCAGGCGAATACCTAATAATCACAAGATTAATGAGCACGCATAACGAACGATTCCCATAAAATTGTGGCTCTTCAGACTTATCAACCAAAATTTGAAGTTCAAGACAAGTATTCAAGTTTCGACAATTACTTAATTCACTTGCATTACCACCAAAAATACACCAATTCTTCACGGAAAAATAAAATTACACAATAAATTAATTGTAGGGGCAAAATAAAAGAAGGCAATTTAACGATAAAATAGGCAATTAAAGGAGAAAGAAATTACCCTAAAACACGTCGTTCTTCGTAAACTTTTGAAAGCATATTCCCTTCTTGGTCGTCATTGCATCCCAAAAATCCCCTTTTCTGGAAAGTGCTATTGCTAATATTCCACCGATTTTCACAATCTCGAAAATTGTATTTCGTGTATGCTCCGCCGCTAAATGTTCTATCCGCCGCGGAAAATATTTGCGGCGCCCTCGCAATGCTAGTCGAACACCGGATCTGATCGTGATTGGAGTGATTTGATACGCGCCCCCGGAATGGATTCCGGCGGTAAACGTGACGCGCCACCGCCCTAGATACGGGATTAAATGGAGGCATTGGAGGATGGAATTAATTGGGATTTTTTGTGTGCAATTGAAACCCTAAAAAAATTGGGATGGAGGATTCGAACTCAATTTGGGGAAAGTTTGATTATGGCAACCCCTTTCAGACTAGAATGATTTTATAGTATACTATTGTTACAAGGTTTACATACTCTCAATCTAACTAATATATGTATATTAATTTATATTAATCTAATAAAAAGATTTAATAATTTCCTCTAAAAATAAAATAATAATTTGAATGATACTAAACTAGTTAATTATGTCTAAGAAAATATATATATCAAGTCAAAATATGTTTTATAATGTTCAATTTCAAAATTTACTAAGAATACTTTCTAAACAATATCGCCTAAGAAAATAAAGTTAAAACAATAAAGGAGAAAAAAAATATATATTTAATGATGTGATAATTCTTTAAATTACTTCATTAGAGCTGAAAATCAAAGCAAATTATATTATATAACTCAATATGAAATTGAACATTGCAAGCTTGTTCGATCTCAATTCGTTAATATAATAAAACCGATCTTGAATTTTTGGTCAATAAGTTATGAATTTCAACTTGAGTAGAGCAAGACGATAGAATATGCATAAAAGAATCAAGGTACTAGAACTTCATATGTGTTCAACTCGATCAAAGTTCGTTCGATCGTGACTTAATTATTTATCAGACTCAAATGTTAAAATGTCGTTTGTAATTTAATAATACCGTTTTGACTTAGAATGGGATTTTGATCATTTTCTAGTCCGATTTGGCAAAATACAAAACACGGAAATCGTAGCTCTTCGTGTGATCTTTCTAATTCAACTTGAGTACGCTAATTTGGATGTCGGATGACAAAGTTACGCATGAATGAATTACGTTTTGAATTTTAGATAACTCAGATTATCAAATTTGTGGGAAATGTTCCTTGATTCCTGAATAACTTTCTCATCTGGTATTTATGATTTAACTCGAATTAGAAATCTAAGTCGTAGAACTATACATTTTGTGTCCTTGTGTTCAGACTAAAATATGATCAAAATTACGTTAGAAGTTGAAATGGCACTATTAAAATTGAAATGAGCGATATTTACACATAAAAACACGCACACCAATATTTGTCTGTAAATGAACAATAAATAAATACTAAATGACCACTGAATCAATGTGTTTGACTGGCAAGATAAATAATAATTAATCAAATAATCAAGTTTTATTGAATATTTGGGGCTTAACTTACAAATTTATTTTTTCCCTCAAAATGTACGTACAGTACAATGTATTAGAACTCAGAACCAGAAAAACAAAAATATCTGCCAAAATAATTACAAGAAATAAACAAGGATCCTAGTCATTAGTTAAGAGGTACATGAACATGGTCTTCACTTTTCAATGACATCATCAACTCGAACTCGAACTTGAACTCGAACAGTATCGTTAGAAGGGACAACCTGAATCAAACAATATAGAATTACAATCCCGTTAGACGAGTATAATTTGTTACGAGATTAATTCAAAATGTTCTATATATAAAGAACATATATGCTAAAAAAAAAAAATCTAGTTACTTGATCGTTGCTCGAAACTACATCGGTAGTTGTTTTCGTTCTTTTCACATCGGAATTCCCTTCTTCATTGAAGTTTTGATCTGTCGTTTCTGATTTTAAAATAAACGTCAAAATAGCAAAGGAAAAATAAATGTCGCTTATGAGTTTTCATGTAAGATTATATAATCCTATCTCGAGTTATCTTATTTTGCAAACCAAACGAGGCCTTACAGAAAAAAAAAAAAAAAAACAGAGTAGTGACGGTACCTGTAGTGCTGCTGCCTATAGAATCTTGGCGCCATAACTGAAAGTTACGCGTTCGATTCTGAGTATTTGCTAAAGGAGATTTTGCACTCGAAGATTGAAATTTTCTGATTGGCTGTAAATCCGAACCCCGATAATGTTTAATCCAGGGGTTTCTTGATGGAACTTTCGACACTTCTTGAACAGATTTATCTCTTTTCAAGTCGATTGTAGACCAACGGCCATCGCGAAGAACCTTAAGCTATATAATTAAAAGGGTGTTAATTAATTAATGTGAAAATGGTATTTTTTTAATTAAGAGATCACGAAAAAAGAACATAGGTTAAAACCTGGCTCGAAGCAGCAGAAGTTTTATGAGATTTGTACAGCTGGTCGACGAATGTAGATTCCATTGATTTGAGAAACGAATAATGTTTCTCGTCTGTCCACTCCACGGGGTTCGATTCTGTTGCCTGATAATGCAGAAATGATTTTATTTTTTTCTAAACTCGAAAAGCAGGATCTTGATTCAAGAAGATAAAATATTGCAAGGTACTAAAAGTAAAAATAAAAAATCATATAGTATACTGTCGATCGAGAATGAATTAGAGCAAGGATGCCGACGGCCTGACGGAATCGGTTTATTCGCTTTCAAATATTGCCGTCTTTATCGATTATCGAGATTTCAAAATTGAGCAAATTAATGCTAATTAATTCTTTCACCAGTTTCAAAAATCATGATTTCATTCTTAGCTAAGCCAACGAAAATTGGGCTAACGAAACACCATTTCTTGAAAATAATATGCTACTCAATTAGGTATATACATATAGCATCATCATCTTAATATTCGATAACACGTAAATCTCACAAACACGAAAAAACGAGAATTAATTGCATAATTAATCTCAAACATTAACAAATGAAACAAGATCAAAGAACCCTTCTGTTCACTAGTCACGTAGTTTTTTTCACACGCAATCAATCACACACATACACTGATATACATATGGATATGTGTAAAATATATGCGAATGCATACAAGTTTATAATATGATACAACAAGATGAAATTCATATGAATATAGCATAGAACAAACCCAAACAAATCTAGATTCCCCCTAATCTAAGCAAATTCAGACATAATTAATATATATATATAAAAAAAAAAGAACAACATAAATAAATATATATAAGAGATCATATTTTTTAATAGAAATTTTACCAACAAAGTAGATGTTTCTTCTTGCTCCATAGAGTTTCTAGAACTTTCCATTAACATTTTCTTTACTGAAAATTCAAACGCCCAAACCAGCAAAAAAGAAAAAATCAAAAATGAAATAAATCTTTTAGTAAGAAAATATCAAGACAACGTTGGGGGTTTTTGTAATATCAAGAAAATAAATACTATTGAAAAAGAAAATTAAAGTTCTGGCCGTTGGGAAATAGGAAAAAAAAGGAGGAGGTGGCCACGTGTCGCCGCTTTTTAAGATGTGTCAGCAGCTAAAAGTCAAAAATGTGAGTGAAGGAAAGTTGTCAGGATATTTTCGGATGCCCGAAAAATATCCAAACCCCCCATTGGATTCAACACAAATATCTATCACACGCGTCCTTGTTGATCCAATCTTCACACATTCCCGAAGCTTCGTTTGCTTAGGATAAATTACAAAATAATCCTTGAACTTAGGCTAAATTATAAAAAATACAACATCTATTCGTAATTATCAAAATCCCACAAACTTTGTCTCCATCTTACATTGACCCTTTTATGGCTTGATTTTTCCCGAAAAAATGTCGATTTTATTCCTGTAGATGTAGCATATCTTTATGCTACATTTAAAGATAAAAATTAACCTTAGGAGAGCATTTACACGAAATCTTTATTCTTCTTATATAATAACACTTTTAAGTATTACCATTACCCTTTAAGGTTTATTTTTATCTTAAAAAGTAAAATTAAGCAGAGATAGAATTAACAATTTTCACGAAATATTCATCGGAATCAAAAAGATTGTGAGAAAAATCACACTGTAAGGAGGTCGGTGTATACGAAAACCAACGTCGGGGTTTTTTTATAATTATAGATGGGTGGGGGTGTTTTTCATAATTTAGCTTAAATTAGGGGGTTTTCGTAATTTATCCTTTTAATTAATGTTTTTGAAAAAATAAATTGAAATTTATTGGGTATGTGTCTATATCTTGAACTATTTCAGTGAAAATTTTAATTTACTTTTTGATTTATAAGTCCACATGCTCGTATGGTCTATAATACTATATTAAAGATAGGGATAATTAGCAATACCCCCCTCATCTAGGTAAATGAATTAAGAAAACCCCCCCTCCCAAAAATAATTAGTGAAAACCCCCTTACCTAATATTCTACCCATATATTATTTAATAATCCCCAAACCACCCTTATTACCCTAACCCATGCCATTCTCTCTCTCTTTTTTTTTACATCGGAACAGGACCCATGCCATATAAGGCTCGTCTCTGAGCAACGGGTCTGCTACCGGCGACGATTTTGGGTGGAGGATTGCGATAGGTCTGCTATCGGCGGCGTATGTGTGCGTGGATGGTGATGGTAATGATGGTTGTGGGGGCGGTTTTGAGTGGAGGATTGCGATGGGTCTGTTGGTGGCGGCGGTTTTGGGTGGAGGATTGCGATGGGTCTGCTGGCGGCGGCGGTTTTGGGTGGAAAATTGCAATGAGTTTGCTGAATTCGCGTAGAAAAAGAAATTCGCGCAGGCAGGGCCTTAATCGACTACGTTTGTTTAATCGACTATGTTCAATAGTCGATTAAGGCTTAATCGACTATGTTCAGTAGTCGATTAAGGTTAACCGACTCCCGTTGTTAATTTTTTTTTTTATTTTTTTTTTTGATTTTTTGTTTATTGATTCCAATATATAAATCAATTACAATGTTTGTATATTTTTTTAAATATAGTTAATTTTGCATTATTTTTGTATTTATGATTTGTTTTTTTTAATAGCTAAAATTTTAATCGACTATGCATTAATAGACCTGATTGAGAAAAAAATTAAAAAAACCAAAAAAAAAATTAAAAACAAAATTAAAAACAAAAAAAAAATTAAAAAAATAAAGATTTTCCTTAATCGACTATGAAGCATAGTCGATTTAAGACTAATCGACTATGCTTCATAGTCGATTAAAAAAACGGAAAAAATAAAAAATAAAAAAATCCTGGAGTGCTGACCCAGTGATGAGGTGGCGGGCGGGGGTAAAGCTGGAAAATGTAATAGCTGAAAATGGGTGTGGACTTTTCTCAAATGGACTAAAATATTTTGGGCCTCCCTCAATTAAAAAAAGTAGTGAGGGGGTTTTCTCAAAGAGCCCCTTAAAGATAATGGTTAATTTACTTGGACACTTCTTTAAATAGAAATTGCATACCTTCTTAAATGTAAAATTATTCAAATCTCTTTTTGTAGATAGTTTGGTTTACATTAATCTATATGCGGTCAGTATCAATAAACCCTCGTATAGATAATAAATGGTGATATGTTCACCCCTTAAATCTTTCTTTGTGATAAACTCCTAAAAATTGTATTCCCAATTCTATCCTTATGTCAATTTGCATAATTAATCTCAATTATTCCTTTTTTTTTCTCTTTCCATAACAATAATCTAATTCCTAAAAATCTGCTTCCAAATTCCTAAAAATTTGCTACCAAATCAAAAAAAAATTGATTTTTTTATTTTTTATTATTTTCGGATTATTTATCCATTAATTATTTATTTTTTATTTTTTACTATTTTTTTAATAAAAATAGTTTTTTTTTTATTTTTTTAATATTTTTTAAACAAAAAAATGATATTTTTTCTTGACAGGTTTACAACTCCGAATATGACTATAGTTGAATATGACTATATGTGACTATGTATTGTAGACATATTCTTTCAATTATATTACAATTTTTTACATTTTCAACTTAAAATTCCGATTATATAGTGTGGTATAGTCATGTTTACCAAATTATATAAAACAACAAAGATTCCCTATTGTTTACGAAAACAATCCAATCAAAATCCACACAAAAAAATAACAATTTTGAATCTAGTTTAGAAGTCAACTTGAAAACGAGAAAATAGAACATATTCAACAATAGTCATATTCCAATATGACTACAATCATATTCGAAAAATACATAAATATGACTATAGTCATACTCAAATATGATTATAGTCATGTTACTGCTGCTATTCAGATCTGGAAAAAAAATCGAAAAATACATAAATAAAGATAGAAAAATGACAAAAGAGAGGCATGGTGAGTCGACGACAACGGCGGTGGTGGCGGTAGTGAAGGAAAGAGAGTGAGAGAGGCGGCGACGGTGGTGGTGGACAGGAAAAAAAAAAACTGAGAAATCGAGAAAGATAATGAAAAAGAGAGAAAGAGCCTTACGTGGAAACGAACGGCAACGAGCGGCGACGGTAATGGTGGTGTACAAATCTATGTGGAGACGATGGTGGTATAAAGAGAGAGAAAAAGAGAGAGAAATCGAGAGAGACAACGAACACGAGAAAATAATAAATCACTAATCGAGGGAATCAACAATAGTCATATTCGAACCAGAGTAGTCACGTTGATGCTGCTGTTTCAGATCTGGAGAGAAAAAAAAAAGAAAAAAATCGAAAATAACGAGAGGAAGGGAGGGGGAGGCGATGACAACGACGGTGAATGAAAAAGAGAGTGGGGACGTGGCTACGGTGGCGGTGGTGAACAAATCTGGAAAAAAAATAAACAATAAAATTGAGAAATCGAGAGAGAACGAAAAAGGAAAATCTCCATGTAACGCATCCGACGAAAGGCGGCGACGAGGTGGGGGAGGCACCGCCGCCACCACTTGTACGGAGGAGGGCCTCCTGCGTTAGGTTTCGGCCGACCGGCGGTTGAAAGGTATTGTTGGCTCCTGCGGTGACGAGTGCACGAACAACGGTGTCTATGGCGAGCGAACTACGGTGGTGGTGTTAAAAAGATAAAGGAGTGCGCCGACGGGTGTACAGATTTGCAGAAAAAAGAAGAATACAAAAAAAAAACGAGAAATTGAGAACGAGAGAGAAGAGAGAGAGAGAGAGAGGAAGTGAGAGAGAGAGGGAGTGAAAGAGAGAAATAAAATTGTATCACGTTAAAAACCTAACCACATAAGGGCACTTTAGTCTTATCATATCTGGTCAGGGGGTCTCACTAATTATGAATGAAATTTGGGTGTAGGCAAAAGTCTCTAAAAGTTCAATTGAGTTTTGAGGGGGGTATTGCATATTTCCCCAATCTATGAACCCTATTTTTTGTTAAAGTAAAGAGAAAATTAGAAGGTCCTCATCTAGGAAATGTAGTTAAGGAAAACCCCCCTCCACAAAATAATTAGAGAAAACTCATTTTGTTGTTAGTTTGGA